TCCATAGCGAGTGCCGTAAAAATAACCGCAAACTTGAGTGGTGTTAGGGAATTTTTTAGGTTTCGGGAGTGCATGTGTGCGAAATAAAGTATAGTTATAATTGTTATGTCTTTATAATCGAGTGGAGTGCAAAAAGGAAAGTGGGTAAATGTTTTAAGATATGTGAAGGTGCTTTGTTAATGAATGTTTTGTTGAAAAGTACTCTGGGAACTGGAAATTTAGTTTTCGAAGTGCTGAACCGCGACAGTTGATACTTGGGATTCTTTTTGATAGTGTTTTGTTAATGGACGTTTTTTGTGGTAGAAAAAATTGAGTTTCTAGAGGTTTTCGTGTGATTTTGAACCTTTTGTACTGTGAATTGAAAAATACGCCATGTCATCGAAATTCTTCAGCCGTTTAGCGCAGTTAGGCGCCGGAATTGTAATCACAAGTGGAGTAGCCAACAATGCGTTATACAACGTCGATGGTGGAGAAAGAGCGGTTATATTCGATAGATTCAAGGGCATAAATAAACAAGTAATCGGCGAAGGAACACATTTCATCATCCCTTGGGTGCAAAAACCAATTATTTTCGATATTAAATCGAAACCTCGTAATGTTTCGACCATAACTGGAAGCAAGGACCTTCAACGCGTCGAAGTGACCTTGAGGATCCTGTTCAGACCAGTCGCAGATGAATTGCCAAAAATCTACACGACTTTAGGAGAAGATTATGACACCAGAGTCCTACCATCAATTACAGGAGAAGTCTTAAAAGCGGTCGTAGCCCAATTCGATGCCAGTGAACTTATAACTCAAAGAGAAATGGTTTCTTATAAGGTCAATGAAAATTTGACTGAAAGGGCTCGGCAATTTTGTCTAATTTTGGATGATATCGCGATTACACATATCACCTTTGGCAGAGAGTTTTTACAAGCAGTTGAACTAAAGCAAATAGCACAATTAGAAGCTGAGAAAGCGAGGTTCATGGTGGAAAAGGCAGAACAGAAGAAAAAAGCTGCAGTCATCTCGGCAGAAGGTGATTCTCAGCAGGCAGTGCTTCTTGCAAAGGCGTTTGGTAATGCTGGAGAAGGTCTGGTGGAATTAAGAAGGATTGAGGCGGCTGAAGACATTGCGTATCAGCTTTCGAAGTCTAAAAATGTCACTTATCTACCGGATGATGGATTGGTGAATGTTAAGAATTAGATTTAGGTTTGTTGGATGGTTTTTTTAAAGCTTTTGTTGGTCGATGGTCAGTTTCAGTCTCATTTGTACATTGGTTTTGGGGTTCCGGATGAAACGCAATATCGTGGTCCTGGCTCTAAGCAAGAGTTTTTTTTTAAGGGGAGGGGGAATTGACTGTCTTCTCCCGTCTGGGTGAGGCGGGAGGGAGTGTTAGACTCTTACTGACTAAAAACCACCCTGTTCCTGTTCCACTTAGAGCCGGAGCACCGGCGACCCGGCGACCCGTTAAGTCCTCCGAGGCGTGGCTCTGTATCGGCATCAGCCCGCCGCGGAGAACGTAAAAGGTTACCGGGGCTCTGGCTTGAAGTGCAGGAGTAGGAACAGCGTGGTGTTTAGTCAGTAAGAATCTGACACTCCCTCTGGCCTTACCAAAGAACCGGAGAAGCCATTTGATGATTTTCTCCTCAATAAAAAAAAACACGATATACAGGGTTACAGGTTAAGTCGACCTAGATCTATTTTATTTATTTATTTATTCGAATCCTTTATAGATCCTTTAAGGGGTTTTAGTTTTCATCATTCCTAGCTGATTTGACCATGAAACACCCCACCCCAAACCAACCCATACTGAGATATTGGATTTTGATTATTTTTAAATAAAATTAAGATTTTTTGTATAATTGACCCTTTTTTCGGATTTTGTGCCTCTAATTCATAGTGTTTTTGCTATTTTTGTGTAGTAGATTAGTTTGTTTATTACTCTCAACACAAAAAAGCAGGTAACTGAACCAACTGGGTAATAGTCGATGATTGAAAGATTAAAAACTAAACATTTTTTCTTTTAAGAATATTTCAAAAAAAGTCTATGACAGTTATGCTGCAGATGTACTAAATAAAATCTACGTTTCTTTAGCTCAAAATCCAATATCTCAGTATGGGTTGGTTTGGGGTGGGGTGTTTCATGGTCAAATCAGCTAGGAATGATGAAAACTAAAACCCCTTAAAGGATCTAGGTCGACTTAACCTGTAACCCTGTATAGTATAATTTTATGTCTCAGCAGTCCTTTCTAGAAGTAAATAAAACAATTGAATATCGATACAAGTTCAAGGTGACTTATTAATAATTAATATATACGTAGTATTATATTGTCATACGTATACAAGTGATAAAAAATATATTATCATTTCGATTCTTGTGATAACATTAAGTATAGTTCTGTGTATACGAAATTCTGTCTGATCTACCCGACCGGCTACTGCGTAGGTTTTTTTTTATCTTAAGTCATCTCATTAGCGATGAAATAGTTTTTTTATAATAAGTTTTATGCTCAAACCTTCACAGTGCGAGTAGAGGCATTTGGTAAATAGAAAAAAATGGATATTTTGATGAAATTTAGTATACACCCTGTCCGTATACCAACGTTCATCAAAAACTGTTCAGCAGTTTCAGCGTGATGGACGGACAAACGTCCAAACAAAGAAACTTACACATTTGTAATCTATTTAACTCGTCGAGTACCGGTTTTATAGACACAATTAACCCTTAGAGCGCCACGTCAGTCACCGGTGCCTGACGCTAGTGGAGGTTTGACTTTCACCATTTTAAACTTGGCAGTTAAAGTATTAAAGAACAATAGGTCGCGGTCACCAGTGACCGCTTGGTGTTTGACAGTTTAAATAAAAATGAATAGCCGTTTGTTAGTCTCGGTAAAATTCGAGAACGGCTAAACCGATTTGGCTAATATTGATCTTGAACTGTTCGTAGAAGTCCAGGGAAGGTTTAAAAGGTGAGACAAAAATATTTGGCGGTACAAAGTTTGCCGGGTCACCTAGTTAGTGATAAAAATCTGTCCAGCCGTTTTCTAGTTATTCACGTTAAAACGAACACGAGAATGATGACTACGTAAGTGGTCGCAAGTGCGACTGTCGGGCAAGGGGTCTCGGGTTCGATTATCGGGTCATGCTAAGTACTACAGGGTTTTAAAAAAATTCTCAGTGGTAGCATTGAGACTGGAACTGTGCCCGGTATATGGCAATAGGCAATAGTCTCCCTATTACATGGGAATCATAACATAAATAGTGAAAAGTGGGTGTTACATTGTAAAGTGGCATTAAGTGCCGTAATGTACACCTCTGCCTACCTCTTCGGGGATAAAAGGCGTGATGTTATGTTATGTTTATGTGTGTATTTATAAATAAGGACAATTAGAGCAGGAAACTTTTTTTTCGATTGCATTTTATACGATAAAATTATATATTTTGCTTCCTTCCTTCCTCTATATGTAATTTTAGATGGTTGCTATATACAATACAGTAGTTTTTATAATAACTATCGTGAGACATACTAAATTAACTAAAAATCGCGGGTTACTCACGTGAATATACTGAGAAAAGCTCTACTAGTTTCGAACGACAGAGGGGTCCTACCTCATGAGCAACGTGCTCGATCTTAGTAGAGTAGGCTGCGCGTCATCGCCGCGACCGCGATTTTTAGTTAATACAGTAGTTTCCTAAATTTGATTTTAATGTCCGTCTAGTAGATTGATTTAAAACATGAGAACCTAACGGGCAACCGGGGCTCCGGCTCGACGTGCAGGAGAAGGAACGGGGTGGTTTTTAGTCAATAAGAGGCTAACACTCCTTCCCGCCTCACCCAGGCGGGAGCAGTCATTCGATGATTTTCCCCCCTTAAAAAAAAAGACACGTATTTAATCTTTTCTCTCGAAATTAAATACTTTCGACGATATATTCATTGGAAATATCGTGACGTCACAGCGTGCTACATTTTACAGCACGTTGTGACGTAACGACTCCTAAACTTAACTCCATTTTATCTAAGTACTAGCTTCTGCCCGCGACTTCGTACGCGCAATCCAGTTTTCTACCGTTCCCGTAGGATTTTCAGGTTTTTTTCTCTCATAAGAACCTTCTCTTAATAATAACAATTAAGAATTAGTGAAATTTCGCCTCATTGACCAAGTGGTCGCAAGTGCGATAAGGGGTCTCGGGTTCGATTCCCGGGTCGGGCAAAGTATTACTGGGTTTGTAAAAACCTCAGTAGTAGCACGAAGTCTGAAAATGTGCCCGGTATATGGCAATAGGCTTACCCCTATTACATGGGACTCATAACATAAATAGTGAAAAGTGGGTGTTACATTGTACAGTGGTATAATGTGCACCTTCTGTCTACCCCTTCGGGGATAAAAGGCGTGATGTTATGTTATGTATGTAATTAGTGAAATCGGTCCAGCCATTCACGTGTGATGGCATGACTAAGGGAAAAAGGGATTCATTTTTCTACATGCATTTTTTGTAAGTTTATACGAGAAAAAAAATAAAAACATACGCGTCTAATATTTTTTCTTTATCTAACTGACGGACTAAATGGATTTTTAATTTTCTTACCCTGGAAACTACCCAATTATAGATACTTTTAAGGTTCGTACACAAAACTGCGATGCGACGTCGCATCGCAAAAATGTGCAAGCTCCCTCTACGCATCGCAAGAACTTGAGAATTTATTCGCATCGCGCATCATAATCTGAACTTCTTTGTTTCTTTTTCCTGTATCTTCTAAGCAATAACAGGAGTGCACATTTCTTTTTACGATCCATGTCACCACCTAGTTTTCAATTTAAAATACGTTTAGTACGGTTGACGGTCGTCGAAGGAATGGTCACCCTGGGAGACGCCTTGTCGCACGAAATTGCATCGCAGCAATTTGTGTCGTAATTTTCTGCGTTGCTAATTCGCATCGCATCGCATCATATTGTGTCGGTAAATACTATCTGGTAGTTTAATATAATTTAAACTAATCATAATTATTTTTGTTACAGGATAATCCTTATATTTTCCATTTCCTACCTATAACTTCCTTTTCCATTCCAAATACATACAATAATCTTCCAAATAAATAATAAATATTTTAGATAAAATAAATTATAATTATAAATAATTATTCTACCCCTATTCCTTTATTCATTCCAGTTTAATTGTTAAATTGTTACATAAAAACGAATGAATAAAATAAAATAATTATATTTAGGATAATAAATAAATAAAGTGTATATAAATAAAATATAATCTATATTTTATTATGATAGAATTTAAGTCCAATAAAATAAAGTAACAACGAAGTAATAATTAATGCAATTTATTTTTAATAGCAACGAAGCAATAATAATAGCAACAATTTCTGAATAAATAATTAAAATTTCCACCGATTGGGATAAGTTTGACACCGTACGCTTGCTGAATAATTGACCCCGTTCACATCGCGGGATAATATTGACCCCAAACGCTTCGTAGGCTCCGAAAATATTCCCTATCTTTCCCATGTCGATCCTATAGCGTTGGTTGTTCCCCCAGCGACATGTTAACCATTATAATCTGACCCCAACTCCACGATGTCGTCATCCCCAGCCGTGGAACCATCATCCCCCTCCACGACCCCATCCTCGCCCGCACTAAGAGCTGACTGCGCGCAATTCCACTCTTCAACTCCGTATTTTACTGGACGGGTAAGTTGATATCTAGTTATTTAATTTTTGTTAGTATCCTAAGTAGCTAACTAAAGGCTATATTTCATCGTAACACCGTGGCGCAAAACAGCTTAGTTGCACAGCCAGCTCATACATTTTGTTGATAGTAGCGATTAAACTGTCAAACACCAAGCGGTCACCGGTGACCGCGACCTATTGTTCTTTAATTGTGTCTATAAAACCGGTACTCGACGAGTTAATTGCTCCGCCATAGTGTTCCGGTGAAATATAGTCTTGCGAGCTGTTTATAAGGGCGCAGATCAAAAGCAAATCGAAGCGGAAATACAATTATGAACATAAAAAATTAAACCTTATTACCATAGCTTAATGCATACCAAAAGAAGCGCCTTATAATGAGCCTGATTTGGACAGATTTTAGCTTCGATTCGCCTGTACAACTTGATTCTACATAGGTGTAGTCAAAGTTATAATGACTTATTTCAATTAGACCAGGAAAGCACTTTGGAACGTCAAAAAATATTGAAATATTAAAAAATGTCCGTCTGTTGGTCAGTCCTCTAGTTGCTTTATTGGGTCGTTCCAAGGTGTAGATTCCTATGGAGAAGAACGAGCAAGAAACTCCATAGGTTACTCTTTTTCAATCAGGTTCACAATACAATTATTGGTTACATTGTTTCGTTGGTTCGCGATGTCGAAGTCATTCGATTATTGTCCCCCCTTAAAAAAAGGTTTGTGGGGGTCACATCGACATCGACAGTTTAATAATTGTTCTGCTGTTTTAAAAACTTCTTTGTTATTTGTATTAGTTAAGTTCGCTCATTACAATTATGTTGTAAACTACGCTTCTTGTTTCTATATACTACATATATATATAATGTTAAATAAGGTATATTCTCATCCACAGAAGGCGCCACAGCCCCCACTCAACGTGGTACTACCAGTTACTGCGCCAGCCACACCGCCTACTTACAGTAAGTTCATATTTTTGACCTCAAATTTTTTTCATAATTTTTTTAAAACATCGTGAGGACCTGGACTTATAATGTCTAAATATAAGTTTGTAATCGCCAACCCGCATTGAGCAAGCGTGGTGGTTAGTGCTCAAACCTTCTCCGTGTGAGAAGAGGCTTTGCTAAACAGTGGGCATTTGTAGGCTGTTGATGATGATGATAATAAGTATATATAATAAGCTGAATAGTTTGTTTGTTTGAATGCGCTAACCCCTTAAAACATAAATAGTGAAAAATGGGTGTTACATTGTACAGTGGCATTAAGTGCCGTAATGTGCACCTCTGCCTACCCCTTCGAGGATAAACGGCGTGAATAAAATGAGTTAATCAACAATTTTCTTACCAATTCCAGGTGAGGCCACGTTGACGCCACCTCCAAGATCTCCCGGGGTGCCAGCGGTTGCCAGTCCAGCATCTGCGTCGGGAGACGCACGGTCCCATCCACCTGACGGTACCTCTTCTGATAAGGTAAGATCAATTCTTTATTGGGACAAGCCTGCCACAACCTCCCCAAACCGCTGTAACTCCTGTAAGCCAGGATCTGCAGTAGATACAGTCATACAAACACCGGAACACTGAAGTCCAACGTCCCAAGGACATTAATTACTGTCTTGGATCCCACAATGAAATAAATCAGAAGATATTATAAGAGGAGAAAAAATTGAGTAGTTTCTACTTCCCTCGGTGAATTAATGTCGATTTATTTGTCAATTGAAAATAGATCTTATTTTTTATGGGATAAGGCGACAAACGAGCAGACGGGTCACCTAATTCAATACTTTTAGAAATGTCAAAAATTAGATTTGAAATATTAACTCTTGATACCTAACCATGACCAAGACCTCATACCTAATATGTTTGCATCAAAATGCATACTTAGTATTACTTATTATCTACAAATCGTGGGTTACTCATGTGGAAATACTGAGACCAGTTTGCTCGTTTGCCACCCTTAGTTAGGTGTTTTAAAAAGGAATATTATATTACTAGCGGACCCAACAGACGTTGTCCTGCATATCCACTTGAATGTATAAACAAAAATTAATTCAAATTAGTTCAGCTGTTTAGGATAAATAACCTAAACATCGACTGCAGCGCCATCTGCCGGGCTGATTTGTGAATCTAAACCATTCCCAGATCCCCTTAAACACACACAAAAAATTTTATCAAAATTTGACTAGTCGTTTGAGAGAAGTTCAGTGACATACACACTCAAAGAATAATTATATATATAAAGATATGCCTGCGGCATTAAGTCCACCTTAAGTACACATTGTGCTTGAAGCTTAAATAAATGAATAAATTATAGACAGAAATGGTTTTTTAAACATTAAAATATTACCTAACAATAATACAAAAATATAATACATATTTTGTTCATCTCCCGCTGGCGCCGGAACGGAAGCCGGTCCGGAATAGATAGCGCTTAGATAATGGAGGCTGGGTGAAAGGCCGGCTCCCATTGTGGTGATAACAAAATTAAATAGTAGTTTTACAATGTTAAGCATAGCAATATTATAGCTATGTCGTTGAGGTTTATATCTCATTTTTAAGAAGTGAAATGTTACAGTTTTTGTGCTAAGAATAATATTTTCTTCTTATTATCAGAATTAAGCATCTGCTGAATGTAGGATGCTTACACTTGAAACCAATCTCAATTGACTTTGACTTTGACTTTCATCCCCGTACACAGAGATGCACATTACGTCACTTAATGCTACTGTATAACGTAACACCCACTTTTCACTATTTATGTTATGAGTCCCATGTAATAGAGGGTGAGCCTAATGCCACATACATTTTGCCATATCAATTTAATTACAATCTTAAAAATTATTCAATGTCAACACTATACAACCACAATCGTAGCTGTTACAATAGCATTCAGTGTACGGAATATAAAGCCAAACTCAATACTATTTAGTTTATTCAATATCCACACAATACGGGTGCGATAGGCGCTAGTGTTCATTTTTGTGTTAATTTCTTTTTATTCTGTATGTTTAATGAACTTTTTCTTATAGTCGTCAGAAACAGCAGTGGGCGGCGTAACACGGCCGGCAAGTACGGCACTTTCTCGCAAGGAGAGTTACAAAGCACAGAGACAACACTACAGAAGAGAGAAGAAGAGAGCAGCGTCGGCTCTACTCCATTCCATCGAGGATCCCTCGGTCGTTGTACTAGCTGATTGGCTGAAGGTGAGTTCCTTTCTGTGGACAGTTCTACAGGAGAGAGCAGAGTATAGCAGCGTCAGCTCAACCCTTTATACTGCCAACTATGTGAATTCAAAATATCTAAAATACTAGCTTTTACCCGCGGCTTCGCGCGCGTCACAAAAGGATAAAAAGTAGCCTATGTGACATATACCAATACATACAGCGCCATCTATACCAATACTTTTATTTTCCCTCTGGAATATCAAATTTTTTCGGGATAAAAGTACCCTATTATTTAATCCAGACTACTAACTTTACGTCTGCAAAAATTCAATGCAATCGGTTTAGTAGTTACGGCTTGAAGTCGGAACAAACAAACAAACAAACTCACTTTCCGATTTATAATATTAGTAAGGATTGGTTGAGCTGGCTATTCGTCATTCAACGTGGCAATGCTACCAGTCTTGTGGAAACGTTCCCCAGTGACATGGACGAGTACTTTGACGTCTAATTGTGGGTATCTTTTAGTTTCTTTTCATCCTTTTTTATTCACTATTTTAGTTTTAATTTATTTTAAAGTGTACATATTTTTTTTTTAGTTGAGTAGACAAAGCGTATTTACGTTGTAAACATACTTGTCGTACCATAATAATTATAATAATGGTAGCTTGGACCATGTTCCCCCTACTGGTCGGCTCCTATTTTTTATATTTTAAAATATATTTTCTTTTGTCAAGTAGTATTTAGAAATGTAATTTATAGAGAATTTTAAATAAATTTATAGAAATATCAATTGTATGTCCATGCTCCGTTTTCATAATCTTTTTTTTTTTTAAATAGAAAATCAACAAATGTCCTTGTCTTTAGTGAAGCAAGAGAGAGTGTCACTCTTACTGACTAAACTCCACCCCTTTCCTACTCCTGGTTTGAGCCGGGCCGCCAAATAATTATGGCCATGACCCTCTACCCTGACATATCCTGTGGGCGGTAAACCCTCTACCCTGGCATATCCTGTGGACGGTAGACCCTCTACCCTGGCATATCCTGTGGACGGTAGATCCTCTACCTTGGCATATCCTGTGGACGGTAGACCCTCTACCCTGGCATATCCTGTGGACCGTAGATCCTCTACCCTGACATTTCCTGTGGACGGAGGACCCTCTACCCTGGCATATCCTGTGGACGGTGGACCCTCTACCCTGGCATATCCTGTAGACATTGAAATAAAAAGCGTGTTATTTCTTCCTTACAGGTTCGTGGATCGTTAAAGTCATGGACAAAGTTATGGTGTGTACTGAAACCTGGATTATTGCTGCTTTATAAGAGTCCTAAAGCTAAGGTAAGCGCTTTTACTTGATATTTCTTCGTCCTTATACAAGGTGTTGTTTTAACCCATTAAAGGTCAAATAAAAAGTACCAATATATTTTTTTAATTTTGTTTATTTTCGTAATCAACTGAGAGTATAAGAACAGTAAATGCGAGAAAAAATGGAAAATAGTATTTTTATGATAATTCAGGGGTGTACTCAATTGAGTACACTGACCACCTAAGTATGAAAATTTTTAAAACACGATATTTCTACACAAAGTGTTTTAGCACTTTTTACATTGCCAACGTAGGTACTCTTGAATGACAAAGGACACATCGTAGTTGCTTTTAAATTTTAGTGGATATTGTCCAACTCCATTTTGCAGGAGGGAGCACATTCCGCCACGTAGGGTTTGATTTTGAAGTCTATTGGCGGGCAATGTAAATAATGTGATAAAAATATCGCACTACCCTCATATAATTTATTAATATAGTTAGACAATTTTATAATGAATTAAGATAATAGGGTTACCCTACAAAAATATAAGAGATATTAAGTTTATGCGTAGAATTTTAGGTGTACTCATATGAGTACAGTGACTTCTAATGGGTTAAAGCCGGCAAGCAATAAAAATTGTAGGTAAATATTTTTAATTTTTGTGTAAATTACGGAAATCCGTAATGCGAACTACGCGCCGCAGTCTTGTAACTGGTTTTTATAACGCGGCTTAACACACACAAACTCAAACACGTAATTGATATTATTCCTAATTCCATAAAACGAATAAGAAACATTGCTGTCGCTTATTCTGAAATACTGTCGAACTTAAACGATTTATTATAGGCCTATTTTTAACTATTGGCCCAAAATTTTCTCTTACATTGAACCTTTATGACTTCTGTGACATTCCCCCGAGAAATGTCACGGTTTCAAAAATACACCTTGTATACTATACTAATTTTATAAATGTGACAGTTTGTATCGACATATATATCTGTTTCACACTGTTCCACGCCAAAACTGCTGAACGGTTCTGAATTTTAGCACAATAATTAGATTATTTTATTTTATTATGTATTAATACGACTTAAAAAATAGATACTCTGTTTGTTCGTGATTATGTCGCGATTGGCAGAACCGATTTCGATGCGGTTTCAAAAAAAGTGTTAGTTATATTTCCAAGTGGGTTTTAGAATATTAGCCGATTTTAATATCAAAGTTGAAGACGATATTTTTAACGCAGTTTATTAAACATTATTTTAATACAACGCCCCACATTAGGATTTTTTACTGAATCGTGGATGCGGTTATAAATATACCTACATAAACATGATATTTAAACTCCATTTGACATTCAACGTTAATTTCTTCTTTATTCTTGTACACAGAGCAGCCACTGGGTGGGCACAGTGCTATTAACGTCGTGCCAAGTAATCGAGCGGCCGAGTAAGAAGGACGGCTTCTGTTTCAAACTGTACCATCCGCTCGAGCAGAGCATCTGGGCGCCGCGGGGTCCACATAACGAGACCATCGGTTAGTATCACGCACTCACTTCATGCATTCACTCACTCACTCACTCATTCAATCATTTCACCCACTCATTCACTCACTTCATGCATTCACTCACTCACTCATTCATTCAGTCATTTCACCCACTCATTCACTCACTTCATGCATTCACTCACTCACTCACTAATTCAGTCACTTCACCCACTCACTCATTCACTCACTCACTCACTCATGTAAAGGCAAAGCCGCTGGCAACAGCTTAGTACATTACATACAAGAATACATGAAAACAAATAAGTAAAAACGATACTTTTTTTGTGATACAGTAAACGAGCAGACGGATCACCTGATGGTAAGCAATCGGCGTCGCCCGTTGAGGAGATACAAGTGCGTTGTGGTCATTTGGGGATTTGAGGATTAGGAATTGGAGGTTTGGGGATGGGTTATCTATGGTTTATTTATGGGTAAGGGACATTAGGCCTCCAATAACCTCAATCATACGACGAAACACACCGCAAACGTTGTTTCAGTGATCACAGAAAACCGACGTCCCTCCCCCTTCCCCAATCTCCCTAATCCCTGAATCCCTAACAATCCTCAAAAGGCCGGTAACGCACCTTTACGCCTCTGGTGTTACAGGTGTCCATGGGCGACGCCGATTGTGTACCATCAGGTGATCCGTCTGCTCGTTTACCGGCTCATCCCATATAAATTATCACTTCGATCGAGTCGACCCATTCATACTGAAGCATGACTCATTCACAAGTTTTAGTGTGTGTATTAATTTTAATACGAATTTATTATTTCTCTGTAGGAGCGGTAGTACAGCCTCTACCAACTGCTCATCTAATATTCCGCGCCCCATCGCAGGCTGCCGGCCATTGCTGGCTCGACGGGCTGGAACTCGCACTACGATGCAGCAATGCTATGCTCAGGTATCTATATTAATAATTTCGACAAGGGGTTTTTTTTAAGGGGGGAAAATCATCGAATGACTGCTCCCGTCTAGGTGAGGCAGGAGGGAGTGTCAGACTCTTACTGACTAAAAACCACCCCGTTCTTTCTCCTGCACGTCGAGCCGGAGCCCCGGTAACCCGTTAGGTTCTCCGCGACTCGTCAAGGGGTACGGTAGACTCGATCGAAACATTACCTGAATAACAAAACATAAAAAATATCGATTTCGAGTCCACCACTTATGTCCGTAAAATTCGGATTACGGAGATTATTTCGTTTTATTAATTCATTTTAATGACACTGACAGACAAACCGCAGTCGCCATCTTGAGTAGACAATAAACGTCCCGTTTCATACTAGCTCTCAAATACGCCTCGCCAATCAACACGTTGTCGCGTCAAAAAAGTATAAATTAACAAGAAATATGAATAAATTCACGCGAACGTATATTTATATATTAAACACTGCTACTCTTTTCGTGAGTTTTGTGAATCGCTCATGGGATTACTTATAAAAAATCATACAATGCTATAGAACGTGTATCGAAATTTCGACTAATAAGCATAATCCATCGGCTGTAATATAAACAAGTAATGTAAAACGTCACCAGCGCCATCTGTCCAACGTAAAATAATTTTACATTCATTCATCATCACCTTACATTGTACAGTGGCATAATGTGCACCTCTGCCTATCCTTTCGGGGATGAAAGGCGTGATGTTATGTTATGCTATGTCATCGTCACCCTAAAATTTTCTTTTGTTGTAGTTCTGTTAATAATTTATTGAATTAAAGATTTCTGCGTCGAGTAGATGGCGCTGGCGTCGTTTTAAGTTATTTGGTTTAATTTAAGTGTAGTTTTTTTATTTAATGCTAATCAGTTAACCCACTTTATAATAGGGTAGACTAAATTGTGTTTTAATTTCCGTCTGGTAGATTATTTTAAATCATTAGACACGTATTTTTTATTTTCTTACAAAATTAAATATTAAAATTAAATATTATATGCTATGAGTCTATGTATGTATGTATGTATGTATGTATATTGCAGTGTACTCGTGTGTAGGTATATATATTATTATTATATTTATTTATGTTCATATTTGAAATATGTTAGTATAATCTTCTATTTTCTCAATTAAATCGTTGCTTGCTTCTTGCTCCTACCATTCACTCTTCTCTGCATCACCCAAAGGTCAGACTGGGAGAAAATGCCTGCGGCATTAAGTCCACCTTGTGTACACTTTGTGCATGAAGCGTTAATAAATAAATAAATAAAAATTAAATACTTTCGACGATATATTGATTTGAAAATATCGTGTGACGTCACATTTTATAGAGTGACGTAACGACCTCCCACTCCTAAACTTAACGCAGTTTTATCTAAGTATTGTTTCCTTATACGAAAAAATAAAAAAAATACGTGTCTAATATTTTTTCATCATCTAACTGATGGACTAATAACATTTTTAATTTTCATATACTGCCTACTCCCCTTGTATTTATTTTAACTAATATGGCCTTAGTAGCCTTGGTAGCCAGCTATTAAACTGTCAAATACCGCGAGGACACCGGTGTCCACACACATATTGTTCTTTAATTGGATCTATAATGACGTTACTTAAAGGGTTAAGCTGCATAGATTTATAACTGCCACAAACTTACCTCCTCGGGGCATACTTACCTGCTGAACCAAAGTAAAAGTCAAAGCATTTATTTCAATTAAACCATAATTTGGTACTTTTGAAACGTCAACGAATACAAAATAAATAATAGTCGGTCAGTCTAGAAGCTAGGTGCTCATTCCAGAATGTAGATTCGAATGGAGAAGAACGAGCAAAAAACTCCATGAGAACTTTTAAGACAGGCTTTGCCATAACCCCCATTTTGCCTAAGGGGGCGTCCATAAATTACGTGAGATGTTTTTTTTAATTGTCTGTCCCTCCCTCCCCCCTTAGTGAGATTTCGTGAGATTTTATTCAACACCCTCCCCCATCCCTCAATATCAAGTGAAATTTTTCAAAATGTTGGTTTTTCACGTAATCGTGTTGGATTGTTATTGCAAAAAGAAAAAAAATCCATGTGCATGTACAATTAAATCTTAAGCATGTACAATCTGGAATAAATGAACTATGAAGTCGGTAAAAATAAAAACAGCAAAATTTTTTTTGTTACTATCAGAAAAAAAAATTGGTTGCCTGTAAAGTCGGTATACGGGCGAAAGTTTTACGTGACAACGATGTCTGTCTCTCACGCTCTTAGGCGGGCTAACCATGCCCAAGTGGAAGGGACGCGTGCCTCTCACTCGCTCTCATTGTGAGCGCATAACGTGAGCGGAGCGTAACGCAGTTTCTTGAAGTGTCACCCGGCAAACCAATTTATAAGACGTTGTTACGTTAACCTTTTGAGCGCCAGGGTCACAAATACGTGACAAGCGAAAACTGTCCCTGAGCGCCAACGACACAAATATGTGACAAAAACAGCGGTACATTAAAACACGAAATAAACTATTTAAACATTACTTTAATGCCTATTTATTTATATACCTGTAAAATAGAAGGTCCAAAATTTATTTATTTCCATAAAACTAATTAAATTGCATTATAAATATTGAGAAATTTTACGTTAAAAAGAAAGAAATAAACTCTGAAAAAAGAATGTCCTCACACGCCAGAGTCATAACTGCGTGACCGCTAGTGATGTAGCGCATGTTGGATAATATCATTATTTCAAATCAAAGATCGATTCGAAACTTTCCTCTGGAATATATTATTTTAGGTATAATTTGGTACTAGGATAAAGCAGCATTAATTTTATAAAACCAGTCTTAAAAATCATTCAATAAGCTACATAGTCAAAAATAAAATTTGGTTGGGTCGAATTTCGATATTCACTAATCCCAACTCAAGCGCATCCCTAACGCAACCCGAATTATCAGTACCCTGTACGCCATGGTCACGACTAGACGACAATATCGTGACGTCACAAGCGCGGCGACCAGAAATTAGTGAAGTGAATGAATAATATTTATGATTAATTTACTTGTGATATCGAGTTCAAGATTTATATTAAGTGACTATTATAATGAGTGGGAATTTAATGACTCCGGAAGAACTTCGTGGAATAAAGTCTGCCAAAAGTTCCTTTTTTAGCCACGGTGCGCGCTGAGATCGATTTCACTGTCCCCACCACCCACTTTGCACCCAGCGAATTAGATGATCAGAATGCAGGTTGCATTGTAGATTTTGTATAATTTTGTTCTATTATTCAAAAGATTTATTAGTATAAGACTGATTGGTAATTGTGATAATTATATATAATCGTTAATTGTTTTAATTTGTTACTTTTTATGCCAGGTTTATAGAACTTAATATTTAAAAACATGTATACATAGTACATACTGTATAACATTTTATTAAAATTTTCTATTTTTTCATAGTTTTTATTTACCTTCTTAACCTATTTCAATCATATATTTTTAAGTACCTGTTACATTCGGAATTATAAATCTGATTTAAAAAACGTGTTTCATTTATTATAAAATAATATTGTACTAGAACATCGATAAACGAGATATTACGTTGCCACATCCTTATTTCGGAAGCGAAGTAGTTATTAAAATGGCGGGCCGTCCACGCCATGGTCACAATATGAAGACAGCAGATCAAGAATAGTGTTGTACCTACAGTTATTATATTTAAATATATTGTAGTCTCATATCTGTTATTACGGTATTATACAAGTCTGTAAATAGTGTATTATGTAATCTGTAATTACTTTAATAGGAAGAAATGTAATGTTGAATTAAATTTCAATGTTATAAGGACATTATATTTCGAAATTAAAGACGAAAATGAAAATAAAATTGATTATCGATGAAGTTTTGGAATCCCTATTTTTTTCGTAGGTATTTGCGGTGAATTTGTGGCCTGGCGTTGAGGGCAAGTTCATGCGTTTTTGCTCTGGCGTTCAAAAGGTTAAAAAAATACGTGATATTTGCCGAGACCCCCCCTCTCTCCAACGTAAGATTAGATGAGATTTCAGTCTACCCCCTCCCCCCTCTTAAACATCTCACGTAATTTATGGACACCCCCTAACCCCCTGGGGATTGCTTACAACCCACCAATATTATAATACCCATATTATATTGTAGATGTTCCCGCTCCCGTCCCGAGCAGACGGTTGCAGCGGATTCCCCAGCTACTCAGACAAACCTCTCGCATGAAGATCTTGAGAAGCATTTTAATGAACACGGTAAGTCGATATTATTATATATATATATATATATATCTTTATTTTGTATGCATATATGTTCTGTGAGCTCATACAATGTGTTGAGAAAATCCTGTCTGAATTATATTTGAGACTATCGGGCCTCACGAACTTAGAATCGCCTTAAGATTCTATTTACTTACTTAAATCGCGTCCTAACAGTAAAAAATCCAACATAAAAAGAATTATCGAAATCGGTTTAGCTGTTCTCAAGATTTGTGCTAAAAACACATTCAGTGATTCATTTTTATATTATACACTTACGTTCTCGAGTTTTAGTGAGACTAACGAATGGAAATTCATTTTTATTTATATACAGGGTGACTGGTAACTCGATGTATTCCTCTCGGGAGGTGATAATACTACTAGTTTCCTACAAAATTAGCACTGAGGTCTCTGGTCCGAAAGTGGCTAGTTAATTGTTTTAAGCTAAATGCAATTTTCTATAGACCAATTTATGACTCAAAAACAAAACTTGATACTAATTTACTTGCTATTTTAAAAATAAACCCTTTGAGTACCGTCATTATAGACACAATTAAAGAACAATAGGTTGCGGGCACCGGTGTCCTCGCGGTGTTTGACAGTTTAATAAGTGTTTATTGATGTATTGACAACAAATTAAAACTAAAATCACTAAAATCATATGATTGAAACACTAGTATGGAAGGTTATCGAACGAATAATTTTTTAATATCTTAAAACCAGAGACACAAGTGTTAGCCATAGACAATACACAAGACAATGTTAATACCATAAATACAAACCATAGATATATTTTGATAGACAAACTTAACAAATCAAACCAGTAGTTTTTTATTTATTGATGTTTTTGTAGTTCGATCGGGATGTTTTCATCAAAACCGAAAATGTTGAATATCTCAGAAACTAGCCACTTTCAGACCAGAAACCTCAGGGCTAATTTTGTAGTAAATTAGTTGTATTATAACCTCCCGAGAGGAATACGTCGAGTTACCAGTCATCCTGTAGATAGAAGTCGGTCGTATTCATGTACTTTGTTATACTTCAGACAGCGGTTTTAACAAACACATGGTATACAGCTCTCATTATAGACAATCTGTGAAATGAAACTACAGTTATATAATGCTGAAAATACACATTTTTCTTCATAGAAGAAATATCTTCACTGCAACATAAAGTACGGTAAAATGGGGTGAATAGGGTTTGAGCGGTGAAAAAGGGACAGAAGACGGGTGAATCGATACTATAAAGTATTTCCTTATATCTATTCACCCCTCTTCTATCCCCATTCACCTCTCGATCCCTATTCACCCAATTTTACTATTTCTTTTAACCATACTGTGTTTTGAAACTACGAATTGGCATTTATAATCAAAATTTTACTGTTTAAGCTCTTATTTAGATAATTATATAACTACTGCAGACGAGGTAATACATTTTTATTGTTGTTTTGACAATTTAAGCTGCTACATTGCTGATACAATAGGGTAGTTTCCTAAATTTTATTTTAATGTCCGTCTGGTACATTGATTTAAAACTTTAGACACGTATTTTTTCTTTTCTCACGAAATTCAATACTTTCGACGATATATTAATTTGAAATATCTTGTGACGTCACAGCGTGCCACATTTTGTAGCACATTGTGACGTAACGACCTACCATTCTTAAACTTAACGCGATTTCATCTAAGTATTGCAACTTTATACGAGAAAATAAAAAAAATACGTGTCTAATATTTTTTCATTACCTAACTGACGGACTAATTAGATTTTTAATTTTGATATCCTGGCAACTACCCTATTGGGGATAATTCAGCACCTTTGATTGAGTTTCTTTGGCCCGAATTGGGACTGAAGTGCGAATTTGTTTTGTGTTTAACAACATCGACATGTTACCGCGTTCAGCGCTCTGAATTGTGTACTTGCCAATTAGTCAAATTCAATACTTTTTTCGAACTGTCAAAAATGACAGTTTACTATGAAATTTGTACGAGATTGTGTATTGTGACGTCACGATTTCTTAACGTCAAACAGCATACTTATTTTTTAAAAATTTGCTGATAAAATACTTAAATTAAATTGGTTATAAATACAATTAATGAAAGTGTGATTGTTTTTTTTCAATATTTTATTGTATTGAACAGTCGAAATAATTTATTTTTGATTAACACATTAAACGCCATGGCAGTCACCGGTGACCGATGTTACCGGACGATTTGCCTTCAACAGTTTTTTATTGGCAGTCAAAGCCTTAAGGCAAGTACCCATTTGCCTGGTCCAGAGAACCAATCATAGGATTAAACTCGGTATCAGTTCGGTCTCGCTAAACGTAAAACAAATTCGTACTAATGGATAATTAGACATATTGTCAATCAGGGTTCGAATGGATATAATATATATCAATATATATATCCGATATATATATAATCGAATCACTTTTTGTGATATATATCGATTTTGTCTGATTTAGACATTGAATTATTCCGCTATGTGCTTGTCACCGTCACATATAACACTGAATTGACAAACGTCTGTAAGGCGTCTGGCCTTTCGACTCTTGTCATTTTTTGTACGGCGATTTGACTATTGGCTATATGCAAAGCGAGTAGTGGCGGACAGATAACGACCGCAGCGCTCGACACGGTAGAAATTGGAAACAAATGCGGAAGATGCAAACCCGGTTTTTATTATTATCTTCATTTTACAGTAAAACTATTGAATAAATTGCACTTAAATAACGTCAACAATACTATTTTAATGTTTGGTTTTATTTATATTTGCAATGAAAATTATAATGTTTACATTGTTATTATTTGACAGCTTCCGCAAATGTTTTAAACGCTACGCGTCGCCACCGTCGCGCACATAGCCAATATTGTCTATCTCAATGGGTTTAGAAGAAAATTTTGTGTTTTAGATTCATTTGTGTGATTTTAAGTACTTAACTTTAAAAAATTATCCATGACGTTCATACAGAATGAATATCAAACTTGATATATATCATAAATATACGATTTCTTCATATTTATCAAGACTATCGGATATTTTCGAACCCTGTTTTCACTACAAAAAGTGTCGAAATATGCGTTAATACTTTAACTTTTTAATTTTATTCTATACCTCAATTCCTTATGCACGTATCGCTAAAATAGCGCTGAAGTTATCAGACCCATCATCACACAGCTCTCCATTGATGTCCATCTCAGATTACTCCCCAAAAAAACATAATTCCATAGACAGAAAAGTCACATATCAAGTTCCTAAAAAAATGAACACGCGGAAAACAAAATGGGCGCAATTCATGGAGTCGATAGAGATGCTGTCCAAAGACCATGATTCTAGCGACTCGCCAGAAAGAGATAGCAAGTTTTTAGACTTTTTGAAAAAGAAAGAGACGGGTATAGGTCGCAATTCGGCTTCGACGTCTTCGATGAAGTTCGAAAAAGAACCGAATATTAAAAAGCAGATGAGTAAGAGCTTAGCTTCTAGTCCGTATAAGATCGAGTTGAAAAAATCTCCTATATTAAAGTGTTTGGAGTTTCCGAAAATGTCAACTCTAGACCGGTCTAAAGAAAAACTGCCTTCGACGAGTTTAATTGAAGAAAATTTCATTAAATTCATGTCATCTACTTTTCCGAAAAGGCGTAGTTCTACACCAATGATGATTGCTCAAAAACGGATCGGCGAATTGCGTGAATCGGGTGTAAAAACAGATTCGGAGAACGATGACGTTTTTATTAAATCGAAAAGGAAGCTGTATAAAGGCTCGGAAATTATATGTGACACGCCTGAAAATATTATCATAAAGACAGCGCCATCTGTTGAGCGAGTTAGGGAATATACTTCGTCATCGTCTGATGAAATTCGAGAGGAGTATAGGTCAGTATGAGTATGGAGTTTTTGATGGTTGAAATGTCTCATTTCATTGGACAAGTTATTTAATATGCATGTTAGAGAATAAAGATTGATTCAGTACAGAGACTTTTGCAAATAAATGATTTGATTTGATTTGAGACAGTAGGCATTGGTTATGTACTGAACCGACCAATGGTAACCTGATATAGGACTTGTTTAACACATAACAACATGCCTTGCCACGTCTATCCCCGAAGGGTTAGGCAGAGTTGCACATTACGGCACTTAATGCCACTGTACAATGTAACACCCACTTTTCACTATTTATGTTATGAGTCCCATGTAATAGGGGTTTAGTCTATTGCCATATATCCCGACCCAGCAATCGAACCGGAGACCACTTGCCCGGCAGTCGCACTTGCGACCACACGGCCAACGAGGCAGTCAATGATTTGTTTAAAAAGCATACAATCTATTATGACATGTCCTATTCTTCTTCCCGATTCCTAAATCTATAAATCGTTCATCTCTAAGTCCCCAATTACCCAAATCCTTAAAAGGCAACTTCCCCTGGTGTTGAGGGTGTCCATGGGCGACGCCGATTGCTTACCATCAGGTGATCCATCTGTTCATAGCTAAAAAAACAAAAGCTACTGTCTATGTCCTCAATCAACATTTATTTCTTCTGCATACTAAATAATTTGACTTATAATACGGTTAACACAAAAATATAAAATAAAGATTATTCTTATAGGAAAACGATATACCCGCCTTTAATAAACACACCGGACAAATATTCCGTAATAGATTATGAAAAATTACCTTCAGCGAGTTTCAAAGCGAGCAACGCCGAGCGGCGGGATGATAGGTTTATCACTCAGAACGTATATGTCGCTGGCAAAATTGTCACAACCGGTAAGAAAATTAAAAAAGCAGTATTTTTTTTATGTTAAGCAGTTTCAATTAACTCTATGCTACCAATCAAGCCCTTTTGTTTCATATCCTTAGTGACGGCAATTGTGCCTAAAATTAGGTGCCGTTCAAATATTACGTAAGCAGATTTTTACAATTATTTACCCCCCCCCATCCCCCTTGTCAGCAAAAGTAAGCAAAGACCTTACCCCCTCCCCCTTTGCTTACGTAAA